CTCTGGACGCTCGAGTGACTCTCGGCACTTCCTGTTCATTAATGATCCGTAAAAGAATCAAAACTCGCTGACGCTCGATCACCTGACCACCGACTCATCACTGTTCAGGTGCTGAAGCGTGAAAAGCTGATTTGTGCTGATCGTGTTTGTGGAGCTGAGACTCTGCTGCGCGGCGCTCCGTGACCACAGGCGTGCTGCGGACGACTAACAGTGATGTAACAGAGGAAACCACATCACTGCCCGCACCGCGTGAGCGAGCAGAAATTGCATTTAAAAGTTGGAGATATTTAAGCCTCCGCCCCGCCGGGTCAGGAGGCGGTGATGTCACGTGTGTCAGTAACACGGCTGTGTGTTTGCAGATGCAGATGCAGATGTTGCGTGTGACTCTGTGGTCTTTGTGGCTCTGCAGGTCTGCTGGCGTCGCCTCAGTCGGCGCCCGGAAACCTCGACGACAACAAAAACGGCGAGAGTCGCGGCAACGGCGGCAACGGCAGCCGGGAGAACAGCACGGTGGACTTCAGCAAGGTAAACGCGGGGCTCCGCCTCACACGTGGTTTATAGATCAGCTGCTGCTTGTTTGGAGCTTCAGGGAGGTGAGAGACGGTTTAATGATGAGAGAGAGCTGCACCACTTTGACCTCTGACCCCTGCCAGCTGCATGAAGCCTCACACATCAGCTGGTGTTCAGTTGGGACTGAAACATCCCTGAGCTGTGGGCTGATGGGTGTAGGAGGCTCCGCCCTGATGCTGCTCCGCCTGTCAGACGCACTGTGACAGATAACTAATAACTGATAGAAGCACCGCGATGGATGAAACGTTCAGTCTGAGTCTCTGAGCCAATCACAGATCTTTACCTTCATACTGTGAGCGTCTCCAGAGGTCCGGCCCTTTAAGTACACAGGCTGCACAGGAAATGACCACATGAAACTTCTGAAGGGTTAAAAACACGTGTTTAGCTCCGACACTGGCGCTCCGTCAGAACTAAATCCAGGTTACACGGTGGCCTCGCAGCTCAGGGCGGAGTCTAAACTGACTGTCACTGAGCCTCCACCGTCCTGTTTGACTCAAGTCGCTGCAGAAAACTTATCCTCGAGTCGTAGTCAGAATTAAAGCTGTGATGATCCTGAGCGACCTCAAGGACAGTTCGCTTTAATTCAGTGGTTTATGTTTGACTCTCACACATGAAAGAGAAGCTGTGGGTGGAGAAACCTGCAGCTGCTTCCTCCACGCCGCGAACGAACACAACGAATAAATGAACGAATCGCTAAAGCTGCACAGTGATGCGCTGAAAGGCAACACGAGACGTTCCTGCACAGCAGAACATCCGTTTCTCTGCTTTAACAAACTGTTGGAGACAAAATTGTAAATCGAATGCAGATTCAATCAATTCTGC